AATTTGGAAAATTGAAAAATAAAGTGAGTGTGTGAGGAAGGAAAAAGAAAAGAAGGCTAAAATGGACTCCAAATGCGAATGACTGACTGGTATTTTCATTTTTTCTTTTTCATTTTTTTTTCCTTCACCTTAGTCTCCAAGCGTCATCATGGGACTCACGGTATGAGCTTCATTTTAGTTAATCCCTCGGACGGTACGGAGTATAGGATCTCTCATGCTCTTTCTCATCACATCGAGTGCCCCTCTTCTGACTGGGGCAACCGGATCTCTTTCCCAATTCCCCTGATCGTTCATTTATTTTGATGGACCATTCAGCTGGGAAGTGGTGGATATAGCACATCCCTCGGCGCCTCCACTATATGCACCATGTTTCTCACCAGCATCATTATTACGAAAGTGTACGAGGTACTTCGTACAGGCTACAGACGGGGATTTTTTGGGAAGAAAAGGGAAAAAAAAAAAAAAAAAAAAACCTAATACATCTCCACATGGGCAGGAGGGCGGAGCTAATCGGGGATCTTGGCTGAGGATGAGGGAAAGATGATCCAGCAGTAAGGCGCCTGGGAGCTTAGGGATTCTGATTCTCTGGGACCTTTTGCTTAGTGCCTTGCGCCTTGGGGTCCGATAAGGTTGGTGACCAGTTCCATGGGACCGAATTAGCCCCATCGAGCTAACCCAATGTCTATCAATCATTCCAAATTCTCCTCGATCTAATGTCCTAGAGCTCCAAGACACCGGTTTCCCTAAGTGGGTTTCCGAAAGGTTATATGATGACGATGATGATGTTGTTGGATGATCGTGAGCGACTGATGAACCATACTATCGGAATGAGTTTGTTGATTTGGTGACAAAACTGACAAAACAGAAGAGGGGGAAATTAGAAAGAAAAAAAAGAAAAAAGAAAAAGAAATTAAAGTAGAATATAGAAATCCCAGAGTGAGGCGAAAGGATCGGTGGCAGTCGATGAACCATCAATTATTTTCTTTACTATTAGATATTTTATTACTAAATCAAATGGAAAAACAAAAGTAATCTTTTTTTTTTCTTGGTTGCGGGAAGAACCGCGAATTCGGGAGGGCTAAAGGGTTGACAGGACCCATGGAAATGGAATCAACACCACTAGTTAGCGTGCATTGACAATCGGTTATTTCCTGGAACTATCTTGGCGAGTTGGTAAGGAAGTAAATGATCATATCAGCAAATGGAGGACACCAAGATCTCTCTTCAACCCAATATATTTTAAAGAACAATAAAACCTCTTGATATGATCGAGAAAGAAACGCATCCTTCCAGATCGTATCGTGCATAGATATACTACTGCAAGTTCCTGTAGATATTGATCTCCATCCCAATTCAGACATGTACATACGCTGTTGCTCATAGTCCCCTGACTAAAGCCTATAGTCTCACACCTTCCGCATTGCTGGGAAAGGTCGTGCGCACCAGGTGGACCAATGGATCGGGACGGAGGGACCAGGGGCTGATCTGCAAATAGGCATTGCTCCGTGTAGTGAATAATCTTGACCTTTTCTTACCCTGTAGTATCCACTAGAGAGCAAACTAATGACCATCATCGCTTCTGCCACTACATACGTACCTTTCTCTCGGTGTCTTCTTAACTTTTCGCTTTTTTATTTTTATTATTATTTTCGTTCTCTTTTTGGTTCTCTATTCTTTCTATTCTATTTGTCATTTGTCTAGATCGATGAATTGTGTATGAGTCAATATATGGATACAAGGTAACTAACTCCACCCAGTCTGTAAGGAGAGAAACGAGCTTACAATGGTCTTCAATGATGTCATGTGCCATGCCCTAATCCTGAGTAGCTTCCTATGAAAAACTAAACCTCGCAAAGTATTCCGAGGCCGGCGCTATATTATGGCTTAATTAATTTGAGATACTACGACTGGAGCACGGTATATCCCTCGTCAGCCTTGAATGGTTTCGAAAAAAAAAAAGAAAGAAAGAAAAAGAAAAAGAAAAAGAAAAAGAAAAAGAAAAAGAAAGATAATAATAATAATAATATATAATAATAATATACGGAGTAGTAATAATAATAATAATAAATGAGGCGCGGTCCCCAACTCACGCTAACTTAGTTCATAATGGACACTTTTATAAGTCCATCGATTGTATTGGGCCATACCAGTTGGTTCAAATCCTCTTCAGTCCCCATGGTGGATTTGGCTCCATCCAGCTCGTGCCAATGTATGTATGATGTATGCCCGTCATGTTGACTGCACCAATGGATCTATACGGAAGATTTCCGGTGGATATGTACGTATTTATGATCGGGATCGGCCGGGTTTTGGAATTGGATAGATAAATTTAGATGGCTTATTAGTCTTGATTAGTAGTGTACGGCTAACCCGCCTTTGCCCCCAATTTGCTGCTCCAATTCACATCCGATACGCATGGTACATACAGTAGATGGTACATACTAATAGTACTAGTACCCAATACTTTAACCCACCCTGGACACTTAGATGTATGCTGGTGCAGCACCATCAACTTCCAATAGTACTAGTATTGCCCACCTTGGAAATCGTTTGTCCTTGTTTTCTGAGGGCAATTAACTCAATAATTGGCCAAGACTTGGTCTCCGTGAAC